GGGCTAACATCTGTGCCCATCTTCCTCTACTTTATACGGGACGCTGCCACAGCATGGCTTGCCAAGCGGTGCATCAGTGCGAGCCAGGGATCCAAATCTGCGAACCCTCGGCTACTGAAGCAGAGCACATACGCTTAACTGCTACGCCACCGGGCCAGCCCCCAATTCTAGTATCTTTAAAAAAAAATTATACGTTGGTCCCAAGATACCTTGTCCATATATATAAATAAGTGGAGAAATGCATGGAATTTTATTATAGGAATGACACCCAATGTTTGAACTCCTTCTAAATTATATGACAAATAAATCCTACTGTGATCAACAACTACTTTAATGATTCTATCAGCTGGTGGGGTAATTAGATCCTCTTAACAAGTCCTCTCAGCTATGACTCAGCTGGTTTCTCTTTTTGTTTATTGAGAGCAAATACATGGAAATCACTTCACACAAACAGGATTTGTTACCAGTCATTCACAATCCACTTCCTCGGCCTCCGGAATCTACACCAAAAAGGCTCTATCAAGTGCTCTCAAATGGGTTTTAATCATGCCTACCTCTCTTTGACTTATAGGCACCTGTTTAAACTAACTCTTTTTCAGAAGTTGTTGGAATATAAGTATATTAATCCCAGTACACATTTGTCAAAATACAAATTATGTTTATTTGCTTTAAAGGTATTTTGATTGAAACTTTGGTGCTCCAATTTATTCAGTTAAAAAAAAAAATCCACCATCCAATCTAACCAAAAATCTGATTTATCAAACAAGTCAGATGAATGCTTACTTTCTCTCAGAAAGCCTAACTCATTTCAATTTGAATAAATGTGTTAATATGCATTTTTGTAACAACTCAATCACTTCTAAATTTGATTGTAAGATAAACAGATAAGTAGAGAGAAAGGTGGCTGGAGCACAGAGCTTTGCCAGGAGCTTGTCTCCTAGATGTAAAAGCTGGTGGCACCTTCAGCACCGACCTTCAGTACTACCCTTCAGTACTACTCCTCAGTACTGTCTTTCAGTACTACCCTTCAGTACTATCCCTCAGTACTGCTGCTCACTACTGCTCTTCAGTACTACCCCTCAGTAGTATCCTTCACTGCTGCCCTTCGGTACTACTCCTCAGTACTGCCCTTCAGTACTGTCCCTCAGTACTACTCCACAGTAGTGCCCTTCAGTACTATCCCTCAGTACTACTCTCCTGTACTACCTTTCAGTACTGACCCTCAGTAGTGCCCTTCAGTACTACTCTTCAGTACTGCCCTTTAGTACTGCCCTTCAGTACTGCCCCTCAGTACTGCCTTTCAGTGCTGCCCCTCAGTACTGCCTTTCAGTGCTGCCCCTCAGTACTGCCTTTCAGTGCTGCCCTTCAGTATTGCTTGCTGATGTTCTCTTTGCTTGGTCCTCATGGCTTCTCCCTCAGAGCAATGCAGTCTCTATCAAAGAGGTGATGTTGTTAAAAGTGTTGTCACTCTCATCCCTCATTCTTTAATGTACAGTGTCTGACATTGGAACATTCCAAGTAGGATTAAAATACCTAATATTTTTAATTTTAAATTTTTTTAATTTTCTTTTTATCAGAAATACGCATGTTAGGAAGATAGCATTATAATTAAGGAACTTAATTAACGGTTGTATGGTTCTAATGTTTTGGACTGTCCTTGTACCCCAGAAGATTTTATACAGGGACCATGAACCATCTTAAATCCAGGTGACAGTCTGTCTTTCTTTTGTGAGTGGGCAGAGGGAACTGTACAAGAGAAAAATAGAAAAGAGAATGGCCTCCTAACTTGACCGCAGGCAGGTGCATTTTAGGAAGGAGTACCTATGAAGGATGAAGTTACAGAAATGGATTCCTTGCCCACAAAACCCTTGAAAAGTATTTGTGTACTCCAAGGTAAATGTACCCCAGTTGGAAGATTGCTGCCCTAGGCTACAAGGTGAGGACCATTCTGAATGTAATTTATCAGAAGAGGACATTTGTAGAATTTAAGAACTTTTGAAACTTATAGAAGGCCTTGCAATTCTAGGCTCACATCAGATTGTGAAAGGTTTTCCATAACAGACCTACCTGTATCAAGGCCCATGCTTACTAGGAAATAAGATGCAAAAATCACAGGCTATCGTGCTCTGAGAGAGACACTTTCTTAAGTTTTCTTTAATTTTATTTAAGCACCATGAAAGCAAATACTTAACAGAAATTTATTAAAATCAGCCATATACCTATGAAGCTTTTCTTTTGAGGATGCTGTAGTGAAGGAAAAATTATTACTGATCTCTAAGTGGTTCAGCCTGTCACTACTCCTTTGTGCAAATCGATTTATCAAATTTCTCTTTGGTAATGCAACTGGAGGTGCCCTGGAAATCCTCATCAGCATAAGATGATGAGAAGAAAAAAAGCTGAGCTGTTAAACTGTCCTCAATCTTCTGACTTCTGTCTAACCTATGAGGTTCAATTTAAAAATACGCTGTGTGGAGATTCATAAGAATAAGGTCACATCTGCATGGTATTACTAGCCTTTTCTGTCTTCCACATGATAAAGAACATTTTAAAAATTCATTTTTTGACTCATATCAATGGATTCCAAAGTATGTACTTTACTAAATTAACATAAAAATACTTAGTGAAAGAGAGACACTCCAAAAAATAATTCTGCTCACTAGAGTGAAATTGCATTAAAATTAAGCACAAAGGCTTCAGACAGAATATAGGAAACACCGTATCTATTTCAAGGGCAGGGTATTTTGATAGCTCAAGTTGTTAAGCAACTATTTATTGTGCACTTATTCTAAAACACTGTTTTATATTTGTCACATGCTTTAGAATTTAGAAGGACTTTTGAGACAATAATCTTTCCCCAAAGACAAGATCCCTCTTAACACCCCTGAGAGATAAATATACAATCTCCATTTAGAAACTTCTAGGGATGGAGTGTGCACTGCCTCAAAAGGAAGTCTGTTTCTTGTAGCATCTATAAATGATTTGTAACTTGTAATCCCCCCCGCCATAATAAGATGTCTAGAATTGATACTCTCCTCCACACGTGATTCCACCAGTGCAAAATGTGGCGAAGTAACTAGTACTTAAAAAATTTTAAAAAAGACATCTGCTTCCTCAGTCTTGTCATCTATTGATTTCTCAACCCATGAATTTTTTTTTTTTGTCCTCACAATTTACCTGAAATTGTAAGAAAGTCCACAGTGGTCTCCTGATTACTACACATTTGCAGTCGTATGTCTGACAACTCTGTACAAATACCTATCCTTAAACTTAAACCTTCCTTCAGCCAGCCTCCTCCTCATCTCTTCTCTACTTTCCACAGCCATGCTTCTTAAACTTTCTTCTCATCCATACAAAAAGTTTACCTTAATGAACTTTTAGTGAACATATCTTACCATATCTGTGGGTCAGGAATTTGGGAGCAGCCTAGTTGGGTGGTTCTGGCTCAGAATCTCTCCTGAGTTTGCAGACAAGCTGTCAGCAGGCCTGTAATCATCTGATGACTTGACTGGGGGTGGAAGATTCAGTTCCAAGAGAGCTCATCCAAAATTCTGGCAAGTTGATGGTGATTGTGTATGGGAGGCCTCAGTTCCTCACCAATGGGCTTCACCACATGGCTGCTTGAGTATCTTCAGGCCATGGCAGCTGGCTTCCCCCAGAGCAAATGATTCGAGAATGATGTCTTTTATGAGTTCAAGGTTCTTTTTAATAAGCCTCTACATGTCTTTATATCTTATCATTGGTTCATGACCCCTGGCAATTTATAGTTCCAAAGACAGAATAATTTTAATTTGAAACAAAAGGGAAATCTCCATGTAACATTTATTAACGCACCTAGCTTAGTATAACTAAGGCAAAAATTCCATGTGTACAGTAGAATTTCCTTAACATTCTTTTGGTCAAATAAAGCCCTCATACCCTCTCCTTTCCCCACCCTCCCCCGTATATTGTTAAGCTTGTTCTAATTCATCCTGTTTTGTATAATTCGTTTTTTGAAACTAATTCAAGTCTTACAACCAACCTGTTCAAATTCAGATGATTGGGTGAGCTTAACCTTGCAATTTGTCAAAAATCATGTTGAATCCGGATTTTGCCTTATAGTGATGGAAATGTGCCATCCACGATGGACATTATGCTTAAGCAGAATAGATATCTGCCTACAAGGCATAATTTCGGAGAGGTCCAATCTAAAGAAAATTCCTGAAATCTTCATACACTGCAACTCCTTTAGAGGTCCTACCCCTAAAATTCCCCTTCTACTCTTTAAATCTGAATCTTCTCTGTTAATAGTGTTGCCTGAAAAGTAGCACACCAAGTTCTTCTCCTCACCTCTAATTGATTCATTGTGTTAGTCGTCACAGCTCAAGGTGTGTGAAGCTTTTTTCCACACAGTGACTAGATGGGCAGATTTTGATAAGAGGTAGGGACATTTAAAAAGATTTTGGGCTTAATATTATGCTAACGCCAAGGCAAACAACTAAAAATGAGGTACTAATCATCAGGGGACAGAAGAGCATTTTGACAATAAGAATGAAAGAGGACCAATGGAGGACTGTTGGGTTGAGAGCGTCCTGCGAGTTACCCATTTACAGGCGCACCAGCAGATGGCTTTCCATTATGTTTTGGGCAACCTTGGCCCTCCTGGTCTTATACTTTAAGAGATGCTTTTACACTGACCTCTCCACACTCTCATCTACCTCCCCACAAGACCAAGTTGGTGAGTGGTCCTGCTTATGACTGGTTACTGTAGAATGGGGCAACTCCAACTAATTCTCACGGACTCAGAATCCATTTCTTGGTCTTGTCATCAGGTACCTGGACTAACTGACCACATCAGAGCTTTCATGACAACTGGCACTGGGCCACGAAGTACTCAGGATGAACTTAACAAGAAACCAGGACGTTGGCCCACACTTATAACTCTTCACGGTTTGCTTCTGTGCTCTTTTTGATCTTTATTCGATTTTTGCGGAACTGTGGTGATGGGAAATTCAGGATGTCTTTGTTCCAGGCAGTTGCTTGTCATTTTTTCTACTATAATTTAGAAACAGAAGGAGTTACCATTTTTCAGGAAGAAAGAAATTAAGTGTCAAAAGTTGGTTGTTTTCTCCATATGCAATAGTGCTTTTCCTTTCCCATCTTTGTTCAGGAAATATAACCTATGATGATTGGAGCACAATATAATTCATACCAGTTTCCAATCTCACAACTGACTTCAAGAAAATATCTTCAATTATTTCTGGAAAACATTTAGCCCTGAAAGGAGATGATGATCATCTATTGTTCTTTCAGCCGCTAGTAGTTTTTGAATGGCCTCCATCACCAGCAGATATGGCAAGTTTAAATCAGCAACATAAGCCTGTCACATCCGATGTACTGTGGAATATAAAATCCAACATAGAGAAGCACCATGATAGTCACAAAAAGATGTTTATTTCAGGACCATAAGTGCATAATAAATAAACTGACAAAAAATCTATTCACTTCCTATCGATGGGCATTGGCGCATACTTGAAGCCCCTGAGACCCACCTGGGAAAAATTTTTTAACACAGATTCTAGAGCTCCATTTTGGTAGAATTGAAAAATAAAAAATAATAAATAGACATTGTTCAGTAGCATAGCCCAGTTTCTGAATCATTGGAGTGAGTGGAGGATAATTTATGAAGGTGGTGGGATTTGAGCTAAATTTTAAACTATGGGAAAGATTTTGATATAGAAATGAGAGACGAGGGTATTCTGAGTGGGTGCAGGGAAGACAAGATCAAAACCACAGAGATAGATGAATGTGGTACATAGGGAGATCACTGCCTGTTAGACAGGAGCGGAAGTTCAGTTAAAAATAAGGTTGATGTCAGAAGCCTATTTGTGGAAGAACTTGACTGGGAGAATAAGGTTTTTGGGTTAGACTACTATAAAGTATTATGTTTTTGAGCAGTGAGAGGCTCAGAGAATTTTATCTGACATCCTTACTGAGGGGAGAGCTTGTATGTAGGAGACAGCTGCAGTAAGCTTGGGGTGAAACTAGACCACAGACTAGGGTCATGGTCATGGAGAAAGGGAGTGATTATTACCATTAATAAATATATTCTCATTTTCTATTGCCAAGTTCAGGTCATTAATTTATATATAAAAGGGTAGTTGGGGGTAACTGCATGGACGTGTGCAAGGAGCTGGAGACGCCAGCTGGGACCAGTGCTACTCTCGAGTGCCAGCCTCCTGGCCTCCCTTCTGCTGCTTGAAGAGGCCAGGCTTTCTCCTGCCTGCACTCTCCTAGCTTCAATCCAGGTAGCATGCTCTACTGCTGCATCTTTGCATGGAAGCTTCATTTTAATCATCAGGCCTCAGCTGAAATGGCACTTTCTCAAGAAAGCACAGCCCTCCCAGTCGAAAGAAGAGTGGATTTCCTTCTCCCTCCAACGCACATCCCCTTGGTTTTCATCTAGGACTAATCTCTGTGGTGATGCTTTCATGTTATGGCATTTATTTGCTTATTTCTTTCTCTAATAGCACATAAGATCTAAAAGAAGTAGGAGTCTTTATTGTCTGTCCAGGACTTCATTTCCAGTGCCTACATCAGAGCTGGCACATAATAAATGTTCCATAAATCTTGGCTGAATAAATGAATGAAAGGTTTTCTAACCTATTTCTCTATTACTTTTCTCTTATGCCTTTCTTATCATTGTATCCTTCTTGCCACTACCGTGCTAACGATGAAGTTAGGAATATGCAAGTGAAAGAGTATATGTTAGACATGATTGTTCTCCAACCTCCTGATATCAAATACAAGGGCCTGTGCTTTATAGATGAATAGGTAGAGAAATTGCCCAGTAATGAACATGTTGTCTGAGATTCCACAAAGAAATTAAAAATTGCTACCTTCAGTAATACTTGTCAGAAATTCTCCTACTCACTAAATATCCAAACAACTAGTTGTGCAATCTTGGCTAAGTTATTATTCCTCTTTAAGCCCTGGATTCCTTAATTCTGAAAATGACATTTTTGTCCCGTATCTTTACTTCTCCTTCTGGCTTCAGTCCCCCTCATCCTACCGCGAGTCCTGGACAGTTTCCTGATTGATGGGCTCTGCTATCTGCAGAGTTGGAGAGGGCAGAGCTCCAAGGGCAGAGATGGCAGAGCTCTTCCCCATGTGGTGAGAGGCAGGAAGGTCAGTGCCAGTTCTGGCCCGTGTGCTCCCTGTCCCAGCCCCGTGTGGACATTTAGGAAGGTTTGTGCTTTGAATAAAGCCTGGTCATTCCTAGAATAAGATTCCAGCCGATTTTGTTTCATCTCTTCTTTTTTTTAAATGCTTGTTGTTCATCTATATAGTACTGGATATTTGTGGGATTTTTCCCATTTTAATATTGTAATAATATTGTCCCCTCCCAATGGACTCTCAGTCTTCCAAAAGAAAAATCTTGGCAGGAGGAGGGTTTCTTTAAAGTGAGGTTAAGGAATTGACTTTTGTGAGCTGGATTCCTCCAAAGTTTCTCAAAGACCAGTGGTAAATATAGTTTCAATTAGCAGAATGAGTTCTTGGAACATCCAGTGAGTTTATAAAAACTAGCTGGTCTATTTAAAAGGCCATATCGAACACTGTTAAACATGACTTTTTATCTCTCTTATCGATGTGTTTCTCAGCAAATAGATGCTCAGTAATAGAGATAAAACTGTCAGTAACCAGAACATGTCATAGAGAAAGAGAAGTTTGGGAGGAATTACAGTAAGATTCTAGAGTTTGTTCTGAAAGTGTGACATAGTCTTCTCTCACGTATTTTTTGGGGCAAAGATTCTCTGATCTCTATATTATTTCAAGTTCTAAGCTACTAGAGGTCAGGGCTTGTATATTTAAGGAAATGGAGAAGGGAAATGTGTATAGCCATGTTTACTTTCAACTACCATGGTATACTACGCAAGAACATGAGCTTTGGTTCATTTTTACTTTGTGATGGCCTGGAGATGTTCATATATCCTCTTTTCATAGGGTAAAAATGAGTTTTCAAGGTCATTCCTTACGAAGAGGATGTTTTAAGAAGAAAGATAGGAAGAAAAGCTGGAACAGTCCTGTGGGTATTGCTGAACTGAATTCCTAACCAAAAGTTTATATCCATTTTTAGCAGACTGTGGCACTCTACAGAAGCTATGGAAAGCAGTTTCAGAGCAATCAGGAAATCTAAATAAGTTAGTTTTTTCTTACAGATAGTAGGAGCTCTCTCTCCACTAGGGTGTGGATGGTGACTGACCGGCTGGGCTGACTAAACTCGATCACGGGTTTTCAGCGGGATAAATTCAGGGCTTTGGAAGATATTTCCTCTGGCAAATCTCATTTCCAGATATTCCTAATTTTGTTTCAAATTAAGAAAAAGGAAATTTTTGCTTTTGAAGTGTTTTCGCTCCTATAAACAGCTTCATCCAGGGCTGTGCACCAAGCCAATAAGAACTAAATGAGGTTCCAGTGATGCTTCAGAGTGCTTGGCAGAAATTGTAGTTATTCTCTTTTCAGAAGCCACTCTAAGGAGGTGAAACTCATATCCAGAGATTTCTAATATTTAGGCATAAAAAGTACCAAAGCCTTAATATTACTCTAAAAAGCTTATACAAACCAGATAATGGCAAATGACAGCAACTCCAACTAGAGTAAGTGTTTAACAATCCTGCTACTGCAAATGCATGTCACAGTTCATCTTCTCTAGAAACCAGCTGGAGAAAAACTCACTTTTAAGATTCCTGCTAGAGCCTTCTAAAGCTGCGTCATACACTGAGAAGCAACTTCGCCTCAGTTTTCATCCTACATAAACCCCCTCTATTTAAAGGAAAGATAATAACTTATACATACCCCATAATGATCCCTTGCTGAGAAAGTAATTGCCCTCATTTAAGAGTATGTATCAATGGATAATGATGAGATTGCTTTCAATTAAATGAATGCTGATACAGTAATGCTCTGAGATGCACACACAGATTTGGAAAGATAATGATATTTCTTGACAATCAACACTTTTAAAGGCAATAATTTGTCTGTTCATGGTAACTCTCAATGTAGGCAGCTCAATACTAATTGCTTTTTTGTCCTAACTGATTTTTTGAATCTAATAAAATGACAGCTATCTTACATTTAAAAGTGTAGCAACCTTTTCCCTATGTTATTGACAGGTGCCCTCTACCATTTTCTATAAATGGCTCTCGCACTGCCTACCAGCCTACCACATGCTTAAAATGAGACTCAATTGCCCAGCAAGTATGCAAGTGCTAATTTCCCTTAGAGTTGATGTTTTAGCAGGTGAAACTCCGCAGACATGATGTTACCTTTTGAAAGTGTCCCTCTCAAGCTGGGCAGCTTTCAACACATTTTTAAAGGTTTCAACTCAGAGAACAGTCAGGTAGAGACAAGAAAGAAAACGTTTTTATGCAAAACACTTGGCAAACAACAAAACCACTATGCCACTGGGCCGGCCCCTGTTTCATCAGTTTTAACAAAAGTACCACGCTAGTGCAAGATGTTAACAATAGGCAATGCTGTGTATGTGGGTGGGAGTATGGGAACTCTCTGTACTTTCTGTGCAATTTTACTATAATCTTAAAACTGCTCTAAAATATAAAGTCTATTTAATTTTTTAAAGTTGTATTATATAAATTAAAAACAACTTAAGAATAAGAGTTGAATAACATTTAGGATCCTTTGAAGCAATTTTTTTGAGATTTTATGTATGCTCATTTATTAATAAAGGAAAAATAAAAAGTGACATATTTTTAAGTTCCTTTGCTATTTTAATATTACAGTATTTGTTCCAATAAAAACTTTACTCCAGTAAAAATCTTCATTTATTCATGTAAGTTTGTATGTTATTAAAATTTTAATTATTTTCTTCTGAAGAAAAATAGGAGAAATCAGAAATCAGTCTTGCTTGTCCTTGAGAAAACATGTTAGATCACATATTAAAGCTATTTAGTTATTTCACTAAATAGTTATTCCACTAAACACTAGCTATTTCACTCTTGGCTTATGAGAAGAGAGCTTTCATTTTCATCCTCTGAAGTAAATGAGCTCTGACAAACAGATATGCTTTGTAAGATGTGTACGGAACCCCTCAACTGAACAATCACTTTACACGCAAATTCACAAAGTGCTACAAACTGGAACTAGTATTTCATCTAACTCCAAGTCACCATCAAAGCAGCTGCCAACCAATAAACAAAGGCCTATGTGAAAGATGCGTGAATGGCCAATTTCGTCTCTGGTGAGGGGGAGAGCCAAAATCAGCACCCACTCCCACCCCCACCAAAAGACCACCGTGTCTTCTATCATTCTTTCACTTTAGCCAGTAAGAGGCAGCAACAACCAGTCCAACCAAATAACACAAAATATATCATATTCCAGTGGAGAGAAATTTGTTCTAAAACTCAAGGAATCTAATGGGGCTGTATTTTATGAATGGTGAGAAGAAGAAAGCGCACCACAGCTAATTTAATGTGGAACAGTAAGGAGAACTGCAGTTTATTAACCAACATCCCAGTCCCTGCCCAGAGATAATAATATGCCGGGAGAAAAAAAGGGAAATTCAATCATATTCTCACAGCACTGCCAGTATACAGGACTCCCTCATCAGCTCCTGCTGGAATTTCACCATCTTCAACTTGGGCAAGTCCACCCTTTCCCACGAGAGAGCCAGCAGAGGGTCCCTTCTCGTCACCTGCTCTTCATCCAGCAGCTGCTGGCTGTGTCTTTTGTGGAGCCATTGTGAGGTCTCTGATTTTTAAGGTGTGTTTACATTTGGCTCTGGAGATTGCTATTGGCCAGGCTGATTCAGTTTCCTTTAGTTTGTTTCTCTGGCACAGAAGAAAATAAAAAAGACATAATTATATTCCTTTAATAGAGTCCTTTTTTTTAAACACAAGCACATTTTCAGTGGTTACCTCTCAGAGAAGTGGAGTAATAGAAATTTAATATATATTTGTGTTTGTTTATAAATCACACAATTTTTCATGAAAACACACGTAATAGAGCTGCTTATGCTGTCAGCATGTGGTTTGTGGCTAAAAAGTGGAGACCTCCCTTGTTTCATCTGTCTTGTGTACCTCCCTCATCCCACTCTAACTGGAGAAAACCTACCCACATGGTTCCTATAAAGCACCACCCTCCGAATGGA